CACCGACTCGACAGGGCAACCTCCTGCTGCTGCAATGGCCGCCACCACTTCTTCCTTGGAGACGGAGTCATCCAAGTTGGCGACCTCTAAAGTCGAGGACTTGACTGGCCTGGCGACCTTTGCCACGTCCGCGATGCCCTCGCGCAATTTAGTTGCAAAGAGATCCGCATTTTGCGAACCCAATGCCCCGGGAAACTCGAACATTCGAGCTCCGGTTTGGGTACGGCGGCAGGTGACGGCCCCAATCCCCAACTGGGTGGGATCGGCATGGGCACGAGCCCGCGTCAATACGGACTCGTATGTTTCGCCCCTTTCGGCGGCCTCGGGGGTGATGGTCACCGTAACCGCCGCCGTTTTGGGAGCCGCCAGTTTCCTCCCTTTGGCTGTGGGTACAGCAGGGGCCCTCTTTGCTGCGGCAGTAGCAGGGGTGGGTTTAGAAGCCGCTTTCTTTCCCTTCCCTCGCTTCACCACCTCTGTCCACGTTTCGGTGGGAACAACGACAGAAGACTCCAGCACGTCCCTTTCCCGACCCAGAGGAGCTGTTTGCGTCTTTTCCGGCTCAGCTGCACTTGTGCTGGGTGTAGGTGGAGCCGCCGTCTTTGAGGTTTTGCCCCGTCCTTTGCCCTTAGAAGGCTTTGAGGCCTGGGGCTGTCCGCTGGTGGTTGCAGCTGCTGGCGGTGTCAGTGCTGCAGATTGCGCTGTGTCCGCTGCGAGTGGAGGGCGGATGCGCTTCTCCGGCAACAGCTGGTCCTCAATACCCGCAAAGCAAGCTCTCGTGAAGGCTCTTTCCTCCATTATAACCTTGCGGATTATATCCTCAAAGTTGGAGGAGGAGAAGGAGGAAGGGCCTGATACCGCCGCGTTGTTAGCCGATGGAGCCGTGGCTTCAGCCAGTTTTTTGTGGAGGTCGCTGACCTCAGCTTGTAGGCGATCCACCCGCGCCTGCAGTTGCCGCGACTCTTCCGTCGCCGTGCGCTGCACCAGTTCCGCGATAATGCCGTGCATGCTGGCAGCACCACATTTGAGAGCCTTTTGGAAGGTCTCCTTGAGGTTCGAGGACTTAGATGCGACCTCCACTATCTCCTCCTTGTCCTCTTGCGCCATTCGCGCCAACTCGGCCACCGAATGGTCCGCGTACAAAACGTTGGACGCCCCGTAGCCAGCCCTGGACCTAGAGGCGCTAGTTGCGCGCTCTTTGGCAGCGACCTTCTCCTCCAGGTCCTTCTGCCCCTCCGCCCGTCTGGTTTGCGCCAGAGACGCCCTCAATAGGCGTTGAGCCTCATCGAGTCCCACGTCGTGAGTACTCGATTTTGCCTTCACCTTGCGTTTGGTCTTGCCGAACGACTCCAAGGAGTCGTCCGACTCGAGCCTCACGTAAGCCCGTTTTAACTCATAGGGGCTGGTGGCCGCTTGCGACACGGTTGTGGACTCCTCACAGTCCGACAACTCGTCCGCCCGACAAAACAAGCCGCAGATGGTACGCGGCTAGCGTCCGACAACATGTCGTCGGTTTGGCCCTGAGAAGGGCCGAAGGGAAGCGCCCGGAGGCGTCCCGCAGAGGCTTCGACATGGCCGAAGAAGACATATTCACACAAACTAAACCGCAAAGAAGGTAACCCAACCACATATTTCTCCATTTTCTTCCACGTTTTGAATCCATCACGTAACTGGATAAGTTTTATCTTGACCGGTGAATTTAGGTATCAGATCCGTTGTGAGATACAACATCGAGCTTTGGCCCGAACGTGATTCGTCTTTCGTCATGTTTTAGTTGCCGATGCCGTCGTACGTTGAGTTTTTAAATAATATCCGCCGCGTGCACCACGCCACGCGCCGCCGCCGGTCTCCGTCGTCCGTCGTCTTCAAACTCGAACCCGTGTCGTTATTTTATCCAATTCCGGACGAGCCCCCAATTTCGTGGGATTGTATGGCAAAATAAACGAGCACTAAGAATTGAAACTTTTATTTGTGCAAACACGTTATAAAAAATTTTCGTTACCCCGTGGCCGTTCGTCATACCACTCGCTATCGCCATTTTCCTACTCTCTCACTCGCACACATACTTCTCTCTTTCTTTCATCCGCTGCGTTCCGTTTTAACACTTAGATAATCTGCGTTCTTTTAAATAGGTACAAAGTTTATCCCACATGTATGTATGTTATACCTTATTCGACTTTTTGTAAAAATCTAAGTAGAGACACTATGGTCATTTTGTTCAGTTGGTTAAATTACAATCCGTCATCAAAGACTCCACTGAAGTGGAGCCGCCATCAAATGGACTATCAAGTTTGTATAAACCTTTTTGTAAGAAAAGCCAAGAGCCATAGGTGGACGGACGGTAGCATATTCAAGATTTAGAGCCCATGTTATCTTAAAACACGAATCGATCGCGGCTAAGATATTAGGACAGTCATAAAATATATTTGGATTCACCACGATAAAATAAGATTTAATGGTGAATAAATTAGCACCTACCATTGCAATGTATGGCTGAGGAGTAAAGCCTTTTTCTGTGATGTTCTGGTGTCTCTTATTTATAACTAGTTTTGTATAACTGTCATCATGCACGTGAGTGACAAACGCTTCCCGGCTTTCGGCTTTCGTCGGCTTCCATCTCTTATCTTTCCCCTTCTTCCTTTTAGCTGATGGAGGGTCACTACTGGAGCTTGAGGATTTAGACTGACTGGGTAGTGCTACCACACTGGGGCTAATGAGTGCGGGCAAACTTAATATAGCCGCGAGATTCCTGTGTTCTTCGTTCGTGTCTAAAATCATAAACATCTTTATTAAGATAAAAAAATTTCACTGACATGGATGTAGCATTAATATGTAAAGAAAAATGTGTATTATTACTGACTGTTTTTGTGTACTCAATATAATTACAAACACATGTTGTCAAATTCTAATCAATTTGTATTTTTTTTTAACACAAATTATTTGTAACACCTACCTTTTGCTAAATTAATGAGGTCATTTAAGTAAATATCATTTTTTGTTGCCTTCTTCGATACCAGCTCTATCAGTTTACTTTTGATGCTAGGAAAATTTAAGTAGAAATTGTTGACATAATCGGGGTAACATTCATTAAAGTCATCAACAAGCTGAAACAAGGACAAAACAATATAAGTGGGTTCACAAAATATGTAAGTTTCATTTTGTATAATCACATCATATTTTCAGTTAATCATCGACAATTTTTATCTACATAATAATTAGTATCAAATTCTTCATCTCCATAACAAATAAAATTAATTTGCATTTATTTTAACATTCTGTGTAATATAGGCACCTACCAATTTATACCCCTGAGGCTTCTGCAATGCAGGGTACTCATCAAAATATTGCTCAATGGAATATACCGGCTTCCTTAAGTCCCTGAAACACTCTGACAGTGTAGCTTTCCACTTTGACTGTACAAGATCCCAGGGCTCCGAGCTGCTTTTCAAC